TGGGGTGGGGAGAAAAGAACCAAATCTTTTCAGAAGGCCACTTCATTTTTGCTCCCAGCAAGACTGTTGAGCTCAATGTTTTTCTGGCTTTCACAACACTAAAGCAAAATAGGTGAGGAATTGGGAAGGAAAGCACATAAAAGGTGTTTATGCAAATATGGTCACAGAAAATGAGATTCATTTCTGATTTAAATGTAGGGGTGGGATTCACCTCACAAATTAACATTTCTATGTTTAGGTATATACGTATGGCTGCCTACATGAAAGTAGTACCTAAGCTCCCACTGGGAAACTGAGTTGAGGCTCACCTCTCTAACATATCTCTAGACACAGACACTATAGTTGTCTTGTCTAATCCTGCTTATTGACTTGCTTAAAAGTCAGTGGTGAGAAACAGAGACTTCTAGGGCATGATTCATTCCATTCTCAAGTAACTAAAATAGATAAATGACTCTTACTTTATGAGTGTAGCTGAAGTTCCCAGATGGGACATGGTTATGGGCAGATGAATGCTAAGTTGCACAGTCATTACACACATGTCTGTTATAACTAGCACATTTATCAATGATTGACCCACTGAAAGCCCTTTCTAGAGCTGCATGATTCCTACATCCCACCATCCCTCCCACTGCCGAATGCCTCCTCTGTCTCAGACCACTATTTTGTGACTTAATACTCCCATCCATATATGCCAGTCTCTTGTGCTCATTTTATAAAGCAATCAAGTTTTGATGATGTTCTTAAAAAGGAGTATTTCCTGATCTTGAGCCATGTTTGTGTGGAACAGAATCTTAAGGAAAGTGACAGAAACTCCAGTACTTAAGTTATTAAAATTAGACTAGGCAGAAGAGTATGAAATGTTCTTTAGGAAACATTCCTGCCTTGGCAAAGAGAGGGAATGAATGATCTAATAGGTCTTTCCATCTGTAAGTCAACATTCAGCTTCCAAATTATGCCAGTCTTTTTCTTTCATAAGCATTAAATGTATTTGTTTTTGAAGACGTCTCTTATTAGTACCTTCTTTTTCACATGATAAGGTAAATTTATACTTTTGAAGTGATGTTCTTATCACTTGCACCAAAGACCTCAGATGACAGGAAGTTCTTGCATGGCTAGATGATAAATAGATCACTCTCATTTGAAAGTCACTTGAAAAGAACAAAGGATAAAAATATTTTTAGCAGATACAGCTTGATAATTTGTAAGGGTCACTTAAACTCTGTCTACACTGGGAAAATAATTTATTATCGTAACATAAGTCAGGACAGTATGAGCCTGACATAACCCTGCATTGAAACTGGTTGGTTGACAGTGTAGACAGAGTCAAACTCTTAGCAACATCTATTTTGGAAAGTGCACTAGAAGGGAAATTTCATAACATATAGCAAAATCGGTTGCTTCTGAATCACATGAATTCCAGTACCTATTCAAGCAGTTAAACCACAGTTGAGCATATTGACTGAGAAGGATTGTGGGGTCTCTCTCTGAATCTAATTTTGCTTGGTGAATGGGGTGTGTATGATGAAAACACTTCTGATGGCCAGGTTACATGAACAGTTTTGCTGTTGCTGTCACTGGTAGAGCTGTTCTACTTTAGAGATGTTTATGGGGCAATAGAAATATCTGAAGAGAGCTGCCTCCCAGCTGTATTTGGAAACCCTTAAAACAAATCACCTTTGACTTGGTTTTCCCTAGAAATGTTCTCGCTAGTTAGACTTAGCAGGATCTCCCTACCCATCCCCACAATATAGACAAATATATTGGTGAATGTGTTCTAACACAAACCTGATAATTAAAATGAAACAGTGGTAACATTATGCTATTCACATGCTTTTTTTAATAGTTCACCTATAACTTTCTGTATAAGCTGAAACAGAGCTACAGTGAATGATGACTTTAATCCATAACCCTTAAACTAGTTTAAGTGTTAGGTAGAATTGTACTGAAGGTCCTGCTGTGTCTAAATTTTTACTAAAAGGCTACAATGGTTCTGTTTTATCCTTCTGTTTCATCTCAGATAAGACCCTAATTTAGAAAGGTAAAAAAAATACTGTCCTACTTCACTAGTAGGAAGGACTAGAATTTTTTCCACTTGAGGGTCAGTTTAAGCCTAAATACCTGTTGTCCAGGATTCAGCCACCTTGACTCCATAGTTGGAAAACCCAATATGGCTGACTCAGCATTGCCTTTCTGTAAGAGATATAAAGGCCAAATGCTGGGTCAACCCTGATGAGGAACTGAATACCAGAAAGATTAGTGTTTGTGTTTGTCTCAGAGATGAATGTAAAAGGCTGAGATTTTTTAGTGGCTGTTGTCGATCTGTGGACGCTTCCCTAGAGTTAAAGCTGTCCTTGGAGTATCATGCAAGAAAACCCCCAACTTTTTACAGTCTTTCTGTGGTGTCCTACTTGTAGCTGTCCTGTTATGCGTACAGCCTGCCTCACTGCCTGCTGACCTTTATAACTTCAGATCATTTTGGTTGGAAGGTTCTAGAAACTCATTAAATAGTGTTATAATTGCACATGCAGAATGAAGGAAAACAAATACAGCCTTAATTTTCTGAATCCATTACCCAGCTCCCTTGATTCATTTATCTGGAGGATTGAGAACGCCAGTTAATTTCTTTTCCACAGTTACATTTTCCAAAATCATCGAAAGACTAATCAGAAGCCTGTAGCTAATATTTGTGGTTTGTTTGGTTTTCTCCTGTTGTTTGAACTGCTTCCAATATGTCTTGCCAGTGACATTTCTTCAACAAGCAGAATAAATACCAAAACTATAGAGAAAAGAGTTTTACTGGAGAAAGCAGCAAATGTGTTGCACTGTAAATACAAAGTTTCTCAAAGTCACTGACTTCCTTCTCTAACTTCCATGGCAAGGAAATGACAAGAGCTGGAATAATTAGTTTATTGTTTATAGATGTGATTCCAGTTCTGGTTTGTTCAGTTTGAAAGATAGACTTACATCTTTTTAATCCGTTTTTTGCTATGTAAGATTGGAGGGAAGAGAAAATTTAATCCTCTTGGGCTGTCTGCTTACGATATGTTATTATTGGAAATTTTATTTGTAAGACCACACTGCATGACCCTAAATTTAGGCTCTGGACCCCAAGGTGTTACAGAGGTCCAAAAGAGAAACTCTGTCCCTGAATTTTTTGCAATCTAAATGGGCAGGATGATCATTCTCATTTCATAAATGAAATACTGAGGCACAGAGCAATTCAGAGCATATCTTCAGTTCAGCAAGCTGGCTTCAAAACGGTAGGCAGTGAAGCAATACCAGTGCAGCAATCTGCATGTGTGCTAATTAGCCTGGATGGGTGCTGCAATTTCATATTTATATTGCATCTGAGATGCTAGCTAATTTTTATGCATACTTTGGTGAGGTGCCCAGTAAATGCATTAGCTGCTTTGGAGCATTATGCATTGCAAACAGAACCAAAGTGATTTAGAATCATGCAGGCAATTTCAGAACTGTGGTTAACCTCACTACCACTTCTTTATTTCCTTCTGTTCTTCATTCTGTAAGAAAAATATCACAGACTCAATGCAATTTAGGGGAAGGGGCCCTTAGAGGCCATATGGTCCAACTGCTTGCTTTTGATTTCAGATTTTGATCAGGATACTCAAGGCTTTGTTTGATATCTCATCTTGTGAAGACTTTTTTCCCCATATTTACTCTGAATTTCCCTTGCTGTGACTTGTGTGCATTGCTTCTTGTCTTTCTGTTGGGCATCTCTGAGAGGAGCGTGGCACCATCCTCTCCAGCACCTGAGATCTTTCCTTAGCTTTGTCTTCTGCAGGCTGAAAACCCAGCTCCTGCCCTCTCTGCATTCTCCAGCTACCAACTACATTGGATTAGTTGGACTTGCTCCACTATGTCAGTGTCTTTTCTTGTACTGGGGAGACAGAAGTTTATCAGGGTGTGACTCCGTCTGAAGACATTAATTTAAACCCACATTTTTTTGGAAGTGGTAAATTGCATTGGTAAATCTCTTCTGGAAGTGAGCTCCATTAGTTGGGTCCTGGTCTTGTGGAATTTTTGCCTCCATTATGGATCATAAGCTACCAATATCATGGCTATAGCAGCTGGTGATGTATATCCTGAAGAGCTGGAGCTCTTCCCTGTGCATATCTAAGGTGACCACACATAGTCCTGTAAAAAGCTTTGAAGATCAGGATGAAAACCTTCATAATGACTCACATGTAAGCGCTGTGATAGAGAATAAGTGAGTATCTGAGTTGGAAAGAGCCTGATGAGGCAGAAAAGAATGCCAGAGAGTGGTGGCAGCTTTCAAGTCAGTTTTAGTGCTGCTGCTGAAAAATTCCGGCGGCAGTTTTGCACTCATAGCTACAAACTACAGATACAGCTGTGCGTGAGGAGATCCAAGAGGAAACGAGGATTCAGAATAATTGCTTCAGGAAGGTTTATTCTGTTTTGGGGCATGTGGAACAAGTATCAGCTGGGAGGAGGTGACTGTGCTGCAGACCTCTGATAACTTGTGGGCCAGCAGGGACAGGGAAGGGATCTGAGCCCTGTGCTTGGCACTGGTGAGGCCACACCTCAATTACTGTGTTCAGTTTTGGGCCCCTCACCCCAAAAAGGCCATTGAATGACTCGAGCGTGTCCAGAGAAGGGCAACGGAGCTGGTGCAGGGTCTGGAGCACAGGTCTGCTGGGGAGCGGCTGAGGGAACTGGGGGGGTTTAGTCTGGAGAAGAGGAGGCTGAGGGGAGACCTCATGGCCCTCTACAGCTCCCTGACAGGAGGGTGCAGAGAGGGGGGATGAGTCTCTTGAGCCAAGTAACAAGTGACAGGACAAGAGGGAATGGCCTCAAGCTGCGCCAGGGCAGGGTCAGACTGGCTCTTAGGAAGCATTTCTTTGCAGAAGGGGTTGTTGGGCGTTGGAATGGGCTGCCCAGGGCAGGGGGGGGAGTCCCCATCCCTGGAGGGGTTGAAGAGTCGGGTTGACCCAGTGCTGAGGGATCTGGTGGAGTTGAGAATGGTCAATGTGATGTTAACGGTTGGACTGGATGATCTTTAAGGTTTTTTCCAACCTAGATGATTCTGTGATCTGTGAACCAGCAGTGATGAGAAACGAGGTGGCCCTCCTATGACAGGCACATTGAGATTTTTGGTGTGCTTTGATCAGTTCATCAAATCATCATCACTGTGGGTATGCTATCAGAATTGTCCAGGGCACCTGCTTTGAGGGAAATCACTGATTCTGGCATGATTCTGTTTTTTTAATCAAGGCTAGTGATGCACAGGAACATTCGCAGTGACGTGACCTGCTGAGCTGTGCAGGCTGGTGTTTATTTTGGTCCGTTTTTTTCTGGCGTGGTGCTGCTTTTCATGTCCTGTACACTTCTGGATTAAAATGACTTGATGGTGCATGTTGGTTCAGTGAGGTGAAAGGTCAGTATTTGTAAAACACTTTTAGTTCACTTTCATTATTCAACCCAACAGTGATTGGGTTTCAGAGTAACGCTGAGTCCTTTTACATGGATGCTAGTGAAGGGAATGTGTATTGTCTGGGGGTTTTTGTGGCCTCCATGAATTTATACATTTTCAGAATTTGTGCTTTCCATTTATGGGCAATTTAATGCTTTGGCTTTCCAGGGGTGTTCTTTGTGTGCATATGGAATCCATTACAAATGATTTGTAGATCCTTTGTAGATTTTAAAAATAGTGAAGAATGATATTTCACAATACAGGAACTATGAACTGAACTAAAACACCCTAAAAATTTGAAAACTGTTTGTCTTCCTAAAAGTGGAAATGCATAAATAGTTTGTAAACAGTGCAGGCTGTAGGCACTGTAACTAAAGAAAATTAGATACTCTGCTGCTAAATTTTGAGGTTTTGTGTTTCTGCAAAACCTCATAACAACTGTGATCAACTTGTCCTCTTTGTGACCACTGAGGAATCTTAGACATTGGAGTCATGTGGTTCCATCATAACATTCACGAAGGAAGGTTCAGAGAACCCGCTGCTTCTCCAGGCCGCTGGTTTTATTGCCAGGGTAGAAAGACGTGCTGTGGGAAGATCTTGTGGTAAACCACTGTTCAGGGAAGGTGAACTCTATAGAGCCTTGAAAGCTGAGACTAATGGACTTTACCCTTGATACAGATACGCTGGATCCAAAAGAGGGGGGAGGGGGATATCGTGCAAAAGCTTTCAAAGAGTTTTTTTAAAAACACTCATCTCCTGGTCTGCCTTGATAACTTGTTTTTAGCAATTTCCTTGCTCATGGACTTTCCCTCTTAGCCCCTTTGTCCTCTTTGCCTCTCTTCCAATTCTCTGCCAATCCTAAACCACTTTCCTTTGTATTTCAGAGGCTTTCCTGAAGATATGGGACATTCCTTGTTTTGGTCTTCTCTTCCAAGATCTTCATATGCTCTGTAGTTAACAACAAGGTCTGAGAACCTCAATGCCTCCGGTTAGTACTGTAAGGTGAAAAAAACCAATATTATTTGTTATTCAATGTGTGTGGTGACAAATATTTTTTTTTAAATATTCACCCAACAATTCTGATATATCCTTTCTTCTATCTTGTAATTTGGTCTCACCTTTCTTTCCATGTGCTTGGGAGTACAGGTGTGGGGATCTACATAAGCTCATTTTGGGCTCATGCTCCCCCAAAAAATCTCTATGTCTGCATTTAGGGACCCAGCATGGGGTAAGAGGCCATAGAATAAGGTGCTTATAAATACCACAGATCTAGACCTAGATTGCTTCTTGGTCCCTCCTAATCCCATTTTGTGGCTTGTGCATTTTGCTGTTGGTGGGTTTGCTTTTTTTATTATGATTGTAAGTCTGCCTGAGGATGCTGGGATCTGTGTTTAAGGCCTGTTATTTGTGATGACACTTGGAGTAGATATTCTGTGGTCCCTTCTGAACTATATCTATTATGTGATTGAGTCCAATCTCCTCCTGTCACAAGACATGACTTAGGAACAGCTATTCTCCCATCATCATAGAATCACAGATTCATGGAGAGATGTGTAGCCCTGATCAAAGGAAGCATGTATTTATAAAGGCTAAAGGCAATCCAGCAAAGTATAAATTGTTTTTATCTATCAGAGTTATGCCTTCTGATGTTCTGATTGTCTGTGAGGACATAGACATCTACCTGGAGCCTGGTGAAAGCAGCCCTTTCTTGTAAAGTCAAATGCCCTACTACTAGAATTTCACTCTACAACTCCCCTTAGATGCTCAGCTTTGGCTGTGCCATCCTTGTTGCTCTGTAATGACTCTGAGGCACATCTGGAATTAGGTTCATGTCTTAATACTTCCATGCCACTTATCTCCTACCTGGCATTTTCCTGTTTCTCAGATGTGCTTTTAGAATGTTTTTACTAACCAGAAAACAAATTACATTCTGAGGTTGGCACTGAAAACAATCCCTTTTCAGAGCTGTTCCGATCAACTGAAGTAAGTGCCTGCTTACTCTATATATCCTACATAAACATGCAGAATTAACTGGGGTGGGAGGCAGGCTGAAGGAATCCCTGTCCAGTCCTCATTACTGCTTCAAAACTCATGCAAACTCAGTTTTTTTCCTCACTTGCCCACTTTTGGGGGAGCTTCACCCAGCCAGCCCCAGTAATTTGGAGTGTCCGACTCCCATGTGATCAAGCACGGGGTGAACAGTCTGATCAGGACAGTGTGGAAGTCAGCGAGGAGATGGTCGGTACGGTTCAGTGCAGTGTCACTGTGCAATGTGCAATGGTCACATTATCACAGTTACAAAACAGTAATTCACCAGTTCCATCATCCTGACAACTGCCCCGTGTAGATGACGATCTTATTCCATGAATGGAATCCAATTTGTAACAGATAAAACTCCTGAAAGAGCAATGTCAGGGAAACCCAGTTTGGAACTAGATGGATGCAGACAGCTCTTTCAGTTGGAAAACTGATGATGTTGAGGTTCCATTTGTATCTTTTAACCCAGAACACGCAGAACTGTAAACAGAACTATTCCTTTTGAGTCAGTGGAAACCGTGAGATTCACGTACACAGTAAGTTTATGAGGGAACAGTATTTTTCATCTATTTCGGGTACAGTCGTCAGAAGTAGTAGCTCTCGCATGGGCTTTTGAATCTGTAATCTCACACCACGGGAGCACCTGAGCAATACAGGCATACAGAGATTTTCTTACTTAAAACAGGGATTCGGGGAGGGAGTTATAAACTGTGTTGTGCAGTGAAACTCAAAGGTACCTCAAAGCGGCCTGCAGGAGACCCGCGGCTGCCGGGGGGCGGCACCGCTGCCCCCCAAACAGAAACGGGCAGCCGAGACCCGCACGGCTGGGTGCAGCCTCCGCGGGCGTTTGTTAACGGGAAAAACGCTGACCCCCGCACCCGGGCTGGGGGGGTTTGGAGCGCGCTGCCCGCTCCCCTGCTTGCCCGTATCCACACCCCCCACACCCCCCTCAGAGTCCGCGGCGGGCACGGTCAGACGGCTGTCTCTTA